CACACACACACACACACACACTACCTAATTATTATGGGAAAATTTCCTAATGTAGCTCAATTCAAGTGTGTTGTTGTTGTTGTTTGTTGAATGTATTGAATGTGCTGAATAGAGAAACAAAATTAAAGAGGAAAAAGAGTGGAGTTAAATTAAAAGTCGGAGCGCAAAGAGCTCTCTGCCTGCTCTGCAGTGTTACTTATCCACTGGCGCGCACATTGAATTTGTTCCCTTCTCTGTTTCATCTTCCTCTTCTTTTCTTCGTTTACCAGTCAGTATTAAATAAGTTCATGTATTTCAGTGTTCCTATCAGTAGTGGCGAAGCGTGTCCAAGCGGGACGATATGTTAAACTATCTGGCTTCATTTTTTTTAAACCTTAAAGTTTCCCATTTATATACTACTGTTAATTGTGGACATAAAGTGCTATTAATACCAGTTCTCCGGTGACTTGACAAGTGTTTTTTTCCAGAGTTCTCAGTTTTTCAGTTCATCATCTTTTTTATCGCTTCACACACACACAGTTTATTTGATGTGTGAAAGTCTTTAAGACTAACATATGCCAGTAAACGGCTCTGAAAATCATCCCCAATTTCTACAATTAAAAATTTAAATTATCATGCTTTCCACACTGACCGCCACCTGGAACGCCTTCAAGTACTCTACCGTCGGTAATGATACTTGTCAAAATTTCACAAGTTCCTTAAAACAAAACTCCGAAATTACCTCTTTTTTCTCTTGCTGCAGGCTACCCTCTCTGGCAGTACTGGCAGGACGTCCAGGATCCTCGAACCGCCCACTTCTTTCTCATCGGCCATGGGCCCTGGCCCGTGATGGCCATCATGGCCTTCTACTTGTACTTTGTCCTCCGTCTGGGCCCGAGGATGATGGCCAATCGACCCCCAGTCTCCGCCGACCTCCTCAAGCCGATAATGCTCGTCTACAACCTCAGCATGGCCGCCAGTAACGCCTTCTTCGTCTACCTCATTCTCCTTCACTGCAACTACGGCCGCCGTTTCATCGACTGGAAGTACCCCGACCACAGCGACACCAGCCCCAAGGCCCGCTATGAACTGGATATGGCCTGGTGGTACTGGATGACCAAGTTCCTCGACCTCTTTGATACGGTCTTTCTGGTGTTGAAGAAGCGTTTTGACGCCCACCCGGCCCCCATGCTGCACCTCTACCACCACACCGTGGTGCCCATCTTTGGCGCCATCTGCCTGATCCAGAACGCTATCATCCCCGGCTCGGCGCTCTTTGGCCTCATAAACGGGTCGATTCATGTGGTAAATTCATTTGTTAGAATTTTTTTTGGGTGAAAAATGTACTGAAAATGATTTTTCCTTTTTGTTGCAGATAATGTACAGCTACTACGGACTGGCCTCGCTGGGACCGGCNTCATGTGGTAAATTCATTTGTTAGAATTTTTTTTGGGTGAAAAATGTACTTAAAATTACCTGTTTTTTCCTTTTGTTGTAGATAATGTACAGCTACTACGGACTAGCCTCGCTGGGACCGGCCATCAGGCCGTACCTCTGGTGGAAGCGGTACATCACCCAGCTGCAGATTGGCCAGTTCGTCTTTGGCCTCTGCTACGGCGTGGTGCTGGCCTTCCTTCAGGAGGGCTATCCCGTTTTCTGGTTCTGGTTCGCCTTCACCCAGGGCATGCTCTTCCTGGGCCTCTTCTACGATTTCTACCGACGGTCGTACAATACCAAAAAGGGAGCTGTGGTGAATGGACAAAGAGATGAGCCAAAATTAGTTTCCAGAAATGGCGCTCAGAAGAAGGATGAATAAAAGTAGGGGAAGTTTTAGGTGCTATTTAGATGCTATGATTTTTGTTCCTATTTATTTAATTTTTTTTTCTAAAGTAAAATGGTTTTGGTTGTTTGGTTGATTTGCATATTTTTTTATTTTATCATTTGAACTCCTTTACCACACCGGAAAACAGTGTCAACCCTGTCATTGTATCACGAACTAAGAAAAGAAAAGGTCGATCGGCGGTAAAATTTGTAGCTGTTGAGTCAAAATTTTGAAGAAAGAGTTCTTCATCATCTAAAAAATAGTCCTCTAAAAACTCTACTGTTTTATTTTCCTTCTTTTTCTTTTCAGGAGGCGATAATATCAGCCCACTGGCGGCAGACACCTCAGTGCCCAGTTGGGAAAGTTTAAACACCACCTTTGAGTCGATCATCTCCGAGAGGCGTAAATTGTAGTCGCCGTTGACGGCAAAAAAGTCCGCACTTCCGGTGAAAGCGTCCACAATGCCCAGTTTGCTTAAAACGGTTTCAGCGTTCAACAAGTTGCTGGTGGTGTTGAATTGCGGAAAAGTTAAGTCGACTGTTTCCGGTTTCATTGAGGCAATCGCTGCCTCTAGCTTTGTTGAAGTTATCAACGAGCTGATAGGAGCTGAACCGTTAAACGTAACTGGAGGTAGAAAGAGGTACAAGCTAAGGGAGCTTGGGGTAGAGTAAGGAATTTCCACCAATTGACCTGTTGAAAATGTTAAGTAATTGAAAATGGAAGTCGCCCGAAGAAAATTCGACTTTTCAGTAACGGAGAACGGCGTTTTCCATCCCGCTTTAAAGTATAGGGCGTTCAAAAGACTGGCACCCGTGTTTGCAGGCATTGACCCGTTGAAAAGAGGCACAATGTCAGTGTGAGTTTCATCCGAGACCCAATTGTCTATTTGGGTAGTTGAGCTGGAGGCGTTTCCGCTGAAGTCCTCAACGAAGACTTGCGCCCCAAAAGTGGCCGTTATGTTGTCGATGAAGGCCTCGTTTAGCGCAAAGTTCTTTTGTATCGCTAGGGCGGCGCCCACGGTCAGCACTTTTGCGTTTTGTTTGTTAAGTTGGCCGATCAAGGTTGAGTAGTCGGAGAAAAGGGCCGCAGTTTTCAAATGGCTGATGTTTAGGCTGATGGGAAAAAATAAAGAAATAAATTTTGAAAAATGTGTTNCCGATCAAGGTTAAGTAGTCGGAGAAAAGGGCAGAAGTTTTCAGGTGGCTGATGTTTAGGCTGATGGGAAAAAAGAATAAAAAAATTTATTTTAAAAATGTGTATTCACTTACCCGAGTGTATCGTAGATTTGGGCATAGGTGGTGTTCATTGCCCCAGCAAGCAGCATCGTCAGTGTGCTGCCCAGGCTAAAGGGAGCAACCAAAATGTTCTGTTTATGGGAGGAATATTCTGTTTGTTGGCTCAGTTCTAGATTCTGCAAAAGTGCTACTGTGAAGTGGTCATTAGCTTGGCTGAGAATATTTGCACTTGAATGATAAGAATAATGTAAGTTTTTTGCCGATAACGATGAAATGTTGATAGTAAAAATGAGTATTAAGGTTACGGTGAATTGGTGCTTCATTTTTTAGTTTTTTGTGCTAACTTTTTGTGATGAAAAAAAGTAAAACAATTGTGTAGAGTTTTAAATAGCAAAAAAAAGTAATTTTGTTACAATGTTTGATGCAACAGGCAAGTTGTGCCGAGCACATGTTTGCCGTGTGCAACTTTTTGTTAGTTTAACTTTTTTAATTAATTTTTTGTTTTAGTGATACCAGGATCAAGGATGCACCATTTGCTACTAGTCTTTTCTAATTTAGTCTAGAAAGATAAAAGTGCGCTAGATAGGCTAACTTTTGAGCACTGGCTCTATACTTTTTTTCTCAACTTTTTATTTTCATATTTTTCCAAATATTATGACTTTTCATTTGTGAGGTTGTAATAATGAAAGTGTAGCAAAATGTTGTTGCTAGCTAAAAATAAAGCAATCATTTGGCGTACTTTTCTTCATTTTAAAGTTATCATTATAACCATTTACTCCACTTTACCTCCACACTTGCTCGGCACCCTCCAGCAATGAATTGGCCACTGAAGAGGTAACCGCCGCAGCTAATGCGCTCAAAGTACCTTACTAAGTAATCAATTAACTTAAAGTAAAGGTAACTTGATGCACACAACGACCGATTATTTTTGCATTACTTATCAAACAAATGTAAATCAAATGCACACTTTAAAATTAAAATACAAAAAAGCTCTCACGATAACAACAAAAAAGAGACAGTGGTGGCCACCTTGACGACAACTTGAGAACAGAGTCCAAGCAAACACATTATTTTTTGTTTTATATAAAGCGAAAAATTTTGGCAGAGTAAACAGCAGTGGTTTTTTAATTACTGGATCAACGAAAAAACATCAAAATCACAATGAAGCTCATTGCTGGACTTTTTCTAGTTGCCTCTGTTGGTGCTGTTCTGGGAGTTCCACTTCAAAATGCCGCAAAACTGCATCAACTGAGCCACTCCAATGACGCATTTTCATTCAAGTTGATGCAACTTTTAGAGCAGAAAACTCATCAAAACGCAAAAAACCTTTTCATCTCGCCCTTCAGCATCGGAACCGTTCTCTCGATGGCCCTTGCCGGAAGTGACCAGGCCACCTACGGACAGATTTACGACACGCTCGGGTAAGGATTTTAGAGTTGAATTTAAAAAGTTGAGGATTTTTATCATTTTTTATTTTTTAACAGTTTCACCAACTCGAGCCTGGCAAAGTCCGACGTCCTCCAGTCCTACCACACTCTCCTTCACTCCCTAATCCACAATCCACTCGGCAAGGAGAATGTCCTCAGCGTGGCCAACTCGATGGCCGTGCAGAAGAACTACGCCCTTCTCGAGAGCTTCCTCAGCGACATCACTGGCAACTTTGAGTCCCGCGTCTTTGTCGAGGACTTTGTCGGCAACGCCCACAAAGCCACCAAGGACATCAACGACTGGGTCAATGAGCAGACGCGGGGGAAAATCCCGAAGCTCTTTGACGAGGACCTCGATCCTTCTACAATCATGGTCCTTCTAAATGCCATCTACTTCAAGGGCACCTGGAAGTACCAGTTTGAGGC